TATATATATATATATATATATATATATATAAACAATTATCATTTTATGTAATTTTACATATTTCAAAAACTTTCGGCTACTTTTGTAAAACACTCGTATAACAAATAAAAGCTACAGCTTCCAGCTACCAGCTACCCGCTACTAGCTATCTGCTACTCACTACTCGCTACCAGCTAACAACTATTTTTGTCACACACCCTATACGTCGTAATAACACCACGATAATATTCCAAGAAATTACCCTTCGGAGATGTTGGTTTCTCATGAAGTTTTGCTTTAAAAGGGTCACCATGGTTTCAGGTGGCAATATCCATATTCTTATAAAAAAAAGTAAATTATATTGTCAAAACACTTTGTTTTCATGAAATACAAACATGAACAAACAACCTATAACTATATTTCATAACCGAATCACTAATCTAATCAAAAAATATATCCAACCCAATAAAACTATAAGTTTAATGCAATATAGGTATTTCACACCTAATGTAAGATGCAAAAATACATGAATGATTATAAAATTGGGAAACAAATGGTGGAATTAGACCGACAAAAGAAACTCTCTATAAACTGTAGCCATCATTAATGCAGGAGCACATGAAAGGGGCCAATTTCGGGAAAACTTCGTCGAACATCGTTCTTGATTTCTCTGCTTTTCTCCAAGATTCCGGAGATTTAATTTTCTGAGATCAAACTAAAGAATATTAGCTTATTAGAAACAGGTGAATGCAATCCACGCTGATGAGTAGAAATCGATTGGAGTTAGCGAACATGTCGACCTTCAACAAAACCCAAACAAAAATATTGAAAAAGAACTCCAGTTTGTAATGAGTTATATCAAAAAATATTGATTCAGTAAACGTCTCGACTACATCCGTAACACCTTCCTCGAACCTTCCTCCCCATACCTTCACTTCTTTTGGTGGCCATGTTCTTCGATTGTGATGCACAACACAGTACTTTCGTCGTCATTCGGCTCGACACTCAAAATTAACCGGTGTAGTGGTAGAGTTGCAAGAAAGACACAAAATCGTGAATATGGTGAGCCATTGAACGATCCATTGACCTAACGAAAAATCGAGGATTGAAGCAACATAAAGGAATCCGGACAAAACCCTTTATCAATGAGAGCAAAAAGGAATCAGGCGGAAATTTGAGGGTTGGAATAGCAAAAAAGAACAATCAGACGGAAATCCGAGGGTTAGAATAGCAAAAAAGAACAAGCATGTCGTCTTCCATTATTCCAAAATTCTTGGCATTTTCCACATCTCACAGTCCTAGGTACCTTTTCCCTCTAAGTTGGATATTTAGAGTCTTGAGATTCTGATGCATGATTCCTTTTATTTACTTTATGTCTCCCAAGTATTCTTCTCATAGGTGGTAATGGCTTGACGAAATGAATCATTTTCCACATATTGCTTCCACCAACATGCAATATAGTCCCCATGTATTTTGCAATGAACTTGTCCTTATGGTACCACAGAGAAACAAATTGAATAGGATCTTTGTGTACATAGTTGATTGCTTCCTGGCCATGAAAGCATTGTATTACAAACAATATCTACAATCTGCATGTGCATGATCGAGTATGTAAATCCACATTGTAACCATCATATGCATACATAGTCTCAAACAAATGACCTCCACTTGGTATTACCTTACACAACCTAAAAGAAACACAAGTTAATGACTAATTATAGGCAATTATAGCTAATTAAAAAAATTGTGTTAACATTTTACCTTATATATTTCCTAAATTATGCAAGTTTTTCTAGGGTGTTTGGTCCATAGTCACCTCTTTAGTGACTGTGCAAATACCCTTGATGATAAAACCTTTCCATTAGGTAAATCCTGATTTCCTCAAGAATTGTAAGTAGAGGTTTTTGATGGGTTTAGAGCATAACAACAAACATATGTGTTCATGCAACCCTAATTGCTTTGGATCTAGGTTTTCACTAGTTGAACATGCAAATTTGAATACCAAAGCAAAACCCTAGGAACTAGTATATAAATCGAAATCTATATGTAAATAGGTTTTAGATGTTTACCTTACTTGTTATGTAGTAATAATAAGAAAACCTTGTAGATTTTGACTCTTGAAAGCAAGTGCCTCAAATGTGACACCTCTAATGGCTTACAAACACTTCTAGCAAGAGGATGAGAGGGGAGAGGAGGGAATACTCTTAGAAATCGGCTCCACTAGGTTTAGAGGCAAGTGTAGACTAAAACTCCAAGAGGTGGGGTCTTTATATAGCTGAGGGCTGATAGGGTTTGCTGGAAGAAACCTTGATTTCCTGCTTAAGGCTTAAGCAGCCCATGGACCTTCATTAAGGAGCCTTGGACGAAAACTTATAGGGCCTCCATATAATTTACGTCCACTCCATTCTAAGGAGTCCAGTAGCCCAGTTTCACAACTATCAATGATTTGCAAAACAGTCCCTGCTCCTTTAATCCAAAAATTAATTCCAAATTAATTTCAGATTAAATACTAATTAAATACCATGATTTCTAATTAATATATTATTCTCATAATACATTAATAAATCATTTATCAACCTCTCTCTCCAAAAGTCATCCTGTTAAGTTGCTAGAGTGAAGGCAACCCAAAATGACCATGCCACTATCAAATCACGTATGAACATGAGACATGGATTATAAACATTCTCTTTATCCAAGATTTGTTTCCCGAATTCTGATTTATGACGACTGAAATCATACTACTAGTTGAACACATCAATTCAATCCAGGCTTGGCCAAGCGCTTTAGATGTCATCATCAAATCATCGAGGGGCCCATATATATCGCTTTTTCCCGTTAGGGGCAAAAGGAACGGATAAACTTCGACTCATATGCTTGCACTATTTACTCATCAAATCACATCAAATCACGCACAACAATACGTTTTATAACATCAAGTTACTGATGCGTTTACGTATTATCAATGCACAACTAACTCGTAGACAACAACTCATATGTCTCCGTTTCAAGAATATAAGATATTATCGTCTCAAAATTACTCGTGATAAAATTCATGAAGTAATTCTCTGAGCGTGGGTGAATCCAATACTCAAATCCCTATTTCAAAAGTACTTGTGAATGTTGCAACAAATCATTGCTATGTCTAAACCCTTAGACAATCTACAATTCAATTCACGACAGTCTTAATTCACTACTTACTTCCAAAGTATGACCGACTGTGGAT